GAGAACAGGGCTCACAGCTGATTTTCTTTGCACTCCAGACCCTAGCCTAAACCTCACTAAATATGTGTCCAGTGAATCAACACGTCAATAAGAACACCCCTGAGCAAATGCATGATCACTGTTCTTCCCACCTGGCTTCCCACAGCCCCCACCTTGTAGTTCTGGGGTCCTGGGGTTCATGTCTACCTGAAGCACTCACCATGCGTCCTCCAGGCTGGAGTCCAGCCATGTGGCACAGGACAGAACGCTGGTTCCTTCTCTGAGGCTTCGTCTCCAGTGTTATGGCCACCACCTCACTGCCTGTACCTACCACTTGCACCTGGTGGGCAGGGTTGGAGGACAAATTGGAATGGCAGGGATGGCCTGAAGCTTGAACCACTGAAGGTCGACTCCCGCCCTGTCCAGCTGCCCTGCTGCCCCCCCAGCTCCTGCAGCCCTGACTCTTACCTGGTAGATCAGGGAGCCATTTCCTAGCAGTATAAGGCTGGCTGAGCCGGCTGCACCCGTCTGAACTGGGTTCAGGGCCTCGGCCCCACAAAGGACACTTTGCAGGACTGCAGTGGGGCAAGACAGATAGTGGCAGGTTAGCCTTATGGTTGTTCATCTCCTCAGTCCCCAGGATCCTTCCCATTCATACCCTGGCCCCTCCCTGTGCTTGTCTGGCCTCTCAGTTGTGTGCCCAGTTGCCAGGCCCCACCCAGACTCACCATCACAGCTCTGTCTGGCAGCAATGTGTCCACTGATACGTGGCCCTGGCCCACCTGCCCTCTCCAGGGCCATCTGCAGCTCCCCCAGCACCAACCAGTTCATCTCCTGGGCTGTCAGATTGGGCAGCACCTCAGCAAAGCCCTGCTCCTGGGGACAGAGCAGGGTACGGTGGGCAGCAGCGAGAGACTAGAGATGGTAACAGCAAGAGCCAGATCCTCACTCACCTGAGCTGAGGCATTGGCCTGGAGCTCTCGCAACACCTGCCCTTGGTGCAGAATCTGGAGCCGCAAGGGAACCTGGGCTGGCCCTGCAATGGTCACACGTGTGGACACTCTGAGAGCTAGATGTTCTCCCAACTCTCTCACAGGCTCTTGCCTCATCCACTTACCCCCATTCCTAGATTCCAGCAGCCCACGGAAGAGTAGCAAAAAATGCAAGGAGTCCTCTGTGTCACTGAGAGTGAGAAGGGTGATGCCACCTATACCCTGCTGGGGGGAGCCTTCTAGGGTCAAGATGGCACTGAAGGTCTCTGGAGGGAGGGAAGATCATAAGAGTTCATCATAAAGTCCTCTCCTCCGCCCACTCTTTTCCTAGGGATAAAGAAGACTCAGAATTTCACATCCAGGGGCCCTTTGCTCCCCTCACCTGCAGCCAGGGCCCGGTGCCGGAGGAGAGGCCCCCAGACCTCCCCCGAAGGGTGAGAGGGTGTCACGAGTGCCACATACAGCTGTTCTGCCCTAAGGAGCCGCAGAGACAACCGAGGCACTGCCCGCCACACCCCACAGACCTGGAGCAGAGAGACAAGAAGGCCCTACTCAGACAGTAAGCGGGACAGGCCCTGAGAAGCCCAGCTCTGGTGAGGAAGGAATATGGGAAGGAGCCCCCAGGCCCTCCTCGAAAGCTAAAGAAGGGGCCCTGAAACCAGATGCCTGGGGCCAAATCCTGGCTCCACCACTTACTAGCTGTGGGACCTTGAGCAAATCACAGCTGCTACTGAGCCTCAGTTCCCTCATCTGTAAAATGGCCATGATAATGTCAATGCCTTCCTCCCACTGCACTGCTGTGAGGACCAATGGAGGCAGTGCGGAGCACACTGTCAGCACTGTGCCCAGACTGGATAAGCACTCATAAATGTCATCGTCTCACCAGGCCATCCTGGGTGGGGGCAGCAGGGTGTTCAAACAGGATGCTGCCACTGGAGTCTGAGAAGCGGATCCGAGCGGGACGGTCCAGCCTGGGAATAAGAGGTCCAGTGAAGCCGAACTCTGAGCCTGGGCTAGAACAGCTCCTCCAACCTCTCCCAATTCTCCCTCCCCCGCCCCCATCTGACCCCTGGTTTCTCCTTCCCCTTTCTCACTGCCGGTAGGAGATGGAGAAACGGAGGCTGGAGCGCAGTAGCGACACTCTGGCCCGAGCCACGGCCTGCGACCTCGGCCCAGTCAGCAGCGCCACGAAGTCTGGGAGGGGAGGAAGAGTCCCTAGTAGCATCGTGTGCAGCAGCCGCCCAGTCCCAACTACAATCCCAACCCTTCCTTCCTCACCCCACCCCTGACCCCAGCCTACCGGTATGGCCCTCTCCACGCACACGATCCTCAGCTCCTGGCTCCCCACGGTCGCTGTAGCTGCGGTGCTCAGGATCCCGGGGATACTCGAAGGCCAGGCCTGTCGGCTGCCTCTCTGAACCGCTGGGCTCTGCGCAGGGAGGATGGGGACAAAGGCTTCAGTTGGGCACTGGGAGGACTAGTCGGCCCTCCACCTGCCCTATCAGCATGGCTCAGGACCAAGGATGCAGGAGCAAGCCTTACCCTGGGGACAGGTCTGGCAGCAGTGTCCAGGCAGCTGGCGCGGCTGCGCACAGGTCAGGGTTGGGCACTCAGGTTTGATGTTCTTGCAGCTGACCCTGCCTGGGCCCCTGGCTCGGCGACCCCACTGAGGCTACTCAAGAAGACCAGAAAACAGAGGGAGGGGAAGAAGTCAATGGGGGGGGGGACCCACTGGGTGGGGGGGGCACCACAATGGATGGGAGGGGACCCAAGGGCACGGGAACAAGGGCACGGGACCCAAGGGCACGGGACCCAATGGATGGGGGGGTACCACAATGGATAGGGGAGGACCCAAGGGCACGGGAGCAAGAATCACGAGACCAAGACAGAGTCAGACAGTTCTGCTACTTGCAAGCTGCATGACCCCAGCCAAGTTATTTAGCCACTCTGGGCTTCAGGTTCCCTATCTGGAAGAGGGGGGCTAACAATCTAGCAAGTTCTAACAGGAGTTCAGTGAGAAACAGAAGAAATGGAATTGGCATAGAGCCTGGCACACAGTAGGTGCTCAATTATAGCCAACACCTGAGACTTGAAGGGGGCGCCAGAAAAATACCCCAAATATCTGCAGACGCTTCCTTCTCCTCGCAGCTGGGAGCCACGCTTCGGTCTCACGATCCCAGCGCGCCCCAGCCCGCGGGGGTCGGGGCCAGGGCGGCGGGGTCCACTCACCGCCTCGCAAGCGCAGAGCACGCAGCGCATCACCCCGAAGGGCTCCCCCAGGTCCGGGTGCCACGTCTCGTCCAAGGCATAGACCTTCCCGCCGAAGGAGCAGCCTGCGGGGACGGGCTTGGCTGACGGCCGCTGTCCTGCTCCGCCGGGTGCCCGCCCAGGGCGCCGCCGGCCGGGCCTGGGGTTCCCGGGCACCCGCGCCGGCGGCCCCCGCCCACCCCCCGGGCGGCCCGCGAGCCCAGCCACCTGCGCCCGGCGCCCCCTCCGGCCGGCGCGGACTCCGCCCGCGTCGGGCTCCCCGCGGCGCCGGCCCCAGCGCGCCCACCTACCTGCCGCTCCCCGAACGGGCAGCGGCTCCTTCTCGGGCCGGATGGGCAGCGCGGGGGGCTCGGGGCCGGCGCCGCGGGCCGGCCGGGAGCCGAGCAGCAGCAGCCCGAGGAGCAGCCGCGGGGCCGGCGGGGCCGGGCGGCTCGGCATGACGCGGACGGGACAGCTGGGGAGGCGGGCGCGCGGCGGGAGGCGGGCGCCGCCGGGAGCGGGCCGGCGGGAGGCGGGCCGGGCCGGGGCGGCGCGGCGGGCGGGGGCCGGGGCCGGGGCCGGGGCAGTGCGGCGAGGGGCTCGCCGGGCGGCCGCGGAGTCGGCGCCGGGCCGGGCCGGGCCGGGCCGGGCGGGGCGGCAGGGGCGGCCGGGGGAGCGCGAGCCGGCGGGCGCTGACCCGGGCCGTGCGCGGCTCTCGTGCCCCGGGCGCCGGCTCGGGCCCGTTTTATGCCCTGCGCCCGGCGCCCCGGCCGGGGGCCTCCTCCTCAGCAAACGGGGCGGCGGCGGCCGCTCGGCTAGGGGCCGGGCTGAGCCCGGGGGGTCCGGCCCAGCCGCCGCGGCCCGGATCGCTCGTGGGGGAGGGGAGGGAGGGGCAGGGGGGAAGGGAGGGGCCCGGCGGGGAAGGGGGGTCTAGGGGGAGGGGAGGGACCAGGGGGCGCGAAGCAGGGAGGAGAGGCTGGTCTGCAGCCCCCCGCTGCTGGCCGCCCCTGGGCGGCTGGACCCGGAGGTGCGTGGACGCCCCGGGACTGGAGCCCCAGGCCAGGGAGGGGCAGAGGCTGGGCCTTCCTGCCGGAAGGGTGAAGACTTGTCCTTAAGGATGACAACGTTCGGGGAAGGCCTGTCAACCCATCTCCCCTGACTCTGGGCCCGCGGCACCTCTCAAACTCCACACCACCCACTCTCACTGCCCAGCAGAGTCCCCACCTCTTCTTTAGAGGTCTGGCCTCACTCTCCTGTTCCCCCAAGGAGAGAGACCTAGCCAGCAACAGGCGGTGTCCCATTTCTGTTTGGTGACATGTTTCCCTCCCTGCTGTTACCTGTCTCCAGGCCCAGCCAACCATCACTGTGTCCAGTCTGACATGCCTTCTTGTGCTCTCCTCCACCCAGGGGACCCTCAGCCTCTCCACCCCCAACCTCCTTTGTCTTAGCTTCCCGGTCATGACTGCCTCCCTGTCCCCTCCCACCCCCACAGGCCCACCAGCCTCCCAACCACCCCAGCACCCTCCTTCCTAATCTTGGGAGGCATCTCGTCTGGCTGAACTGGAGAATTCCGGGATCTAGGCCATACTCCTAAGCAGACAGCCCCATCCTTGGGAGGAGGAGCAGGAGAGAGCCTGAGGAAGAACTGGGGGGAGGAGGGGTTTGATGGGAGCAAGGTCAGGCCAGGAGGCCCCTGAGGACAGAGACTGTGGGGAGACTGGGGTTGAGGGGAAAGCAAAAGAACTAGAGCCAAGCAGGGCCAAAGGAAGAGGGGGGCCGGGAGGTATTTGCGGGGGAGGTTCAGCAGCTGTCTTTCCTAAGAGAGGGACACATGGGCCTGGTTATTCCTCTTGTCACATGTAATGGTGGGATACAGAAGAAGGAGAAAGAATGGGCACGCAGAGGAGGGCACAGGCACAGAGATAAGTGGGCCTAGCTGTCTGGGCCAGTGGACCCCAGCAGAGGAGCACCTGAGCTCAGCACACACACCCTTCACCTCACAGTTCTCTTAAACTGTCCAAACCCTTTCCCCATAACGCTGAGCCCTGACAGTGTCATTCTTTAAGACAGGTAATAACCACTTGGAAAGGGGACTAAGACCGGACCCTCTAGGGAGCTATAGGCAAGAAAAGCAGGAAAGCAAGAGTCCTGCTGGATTTCAGCGCAGGTGTGCTATCTAGGGAAAAGAAATTTGGACAATCGGGAACTGGAAAACCTACCAATCTAAAACTAGACTCTGTGCCTCTTCTCCTGGGACAAAAATGTCCTGCCAGATTCCTCCTGGAAACAAACCTCGGCTCCCCTCCCATCTCCTACCCCCAAGCAGGTCCCAGATTTCCCATCTCCTAGGAAAAGACGGATCCTTCTATTCAAAACTTCCCTGTGGTGTATGGGGGTGGTGGAGCTGGGCTTTGCTAGTGGACCATGGTCCAGACAGGGGCTCCAGGTCCAGCGAGGGTGGGAGGAGAAGGCGTCACTTCCGGGGGCCCTCGCCAGTGTCTGGTGGCTCCCTGCTCTCTGATTGGGCAGAAGTGGCCTGGGCAGGCTTGTGACCCCACTGCGTGGAGGGGCTATGCCCCAACGCCACATGTCTTCCTACCCATCCGCTCCCCAGAGTGCCGCCTGCTCTGCACCTAGGTCCTGGAACCCTTCTCTGCCTGGTGAGTGGCCAGCAGTCTTTGGAGTTAAGCGAGGGTAGGAAGGACAGCAAAGAGGAATTGGGCTCTCAGCTGGGGGAGGGGCAGGCAAACTGGAACCTACAGGCACTGACCTTTGTCGAGAAGAGTGTAGCCTTCCCAGAATGGGAGGAGCAGGACAGAGCAGGGGTAGGGGGTGGGGTGCTGGGTTCTGTGGGACTGATCAGATTTGGTGGAATACAGCACAGTCCGGGCTGACCCTAAAGAAAAGGGCCATTAACCCAGGGAGAGAATAAGAAAAGAGGTGCATTTAGGGCTTGGGGAACACAGCACCAAGATGGACACAGCCCCAGTCCCCATTTTACCCAGTCATTCCTCGGTTATCGGTTATGGTAAAGTTCTGAATCCTGGGGCGGTGGGAAGAAGCTGGGTCAGGCAAACCAGAGCCCAAGGAGAGGGTAATGGGAGGAGGGCCCGAGCATGTTGACAGACCTACAGGAAATCCCAATATTGAATCAGGTGCAGGCTTCTTTGCACAACTTGTGAAAGAAGGAGGAAACCATGTGGGGGGCCCTGGGAAGGAACCGGAAGGGCCTGCAGAGGGGGCAGGGGAAAGGGTGCATGCAGGCTACGGGACAGACATGGTGGGTGTCTAAGGTGCGCTCAGCCTTGTAAAATGGTCATCACCTGACTCAGCAGGTGTTCATCCTGGCCAACTTGCCTCAGAAAGGAAGTGTCAGTACTACTAGCCCATCTCTTTGCTTTGGATAATCAGGTATTTCAGAACTTGGAATGCAAAAGAAAACTCCAAGAGGCTTTATTGGTGGGGAGGAAGGTTGGGGTGTTGGGGTGTAAAAAAGAAATGGAAGGTTAGCTTCTCTGACACCACCTTCTCTTAACCTTTTAATCATCGACCTCTTACTAGTCCAGTTTCATTTTTGCCCAAATCCCCACCTCAACCCCATTCCCTAGGCTACCCCTTAATAATACATTATACATGTTTGCTCATCCTGGTCCTGTATCCTGTTTTCTACTCTCTTCCCCGGGCTTGTGTCATAATACTTCCATTCTTTGTTCCCATCCCAAATGTTCTCCACCCAAACAAGCAAGGTTGTTCAAACTCTGAGGACAGTCAAGACGTGTGTGCACATATCCTGTCCTGCTGCTCCCAACAGAGGGCAGGAAGACCCCTGTCATTCGACAAGGAACTCTGACAGAGAAGAGAGTTCAATAGTCAGAGCTTTAGTAGTTCTAGGCTGGTCAGCATCTCAAGCCCTCCCAGCATCTTTTCCCCCAGGCAGAATCTTTTTCTTAAAACTTGATTAAATGTTCCTCATTCTTGTCATTTTCAGGATAGATTCCAGACCCTCCTCAGGATAGATTCCAGACACTTGGCCCACCTGTGCCCCACCCTACTCTGCCCAGAGGTATAAGAGCCCAAGCCGCCTCCATGGCCCCAGGAAGGATTCAGGGGAGAGGCCCCATTCAGGGAGCCACTCCAGACAGACAGCCGAGCCAGAATGGAGCTGACTGGTAAGACACTTGAGGGACCCAGGGACAAATCATAACTGGTAAAGGGGAAAGGAAAGAGATATGCTTCTGGGGAGGGCTGGGGAAACCCAATCTCCCAGGAATAAGGTGTCTGAGGGCAGATTCCTAGATTTCAGGTCTGGGTCCTAAACAGGGTTTCCTGGACCCCCACCCAACAATGATTTCTTCCTTATCCACCCCTTTCGACTTCACCTCTCCTCATCTAAGAATTGCTCCTCGTGGTTATGCTTCTCCTAACTGCAAGACTAACTCTGTCCAGCCCGGCTCCTCCCGTCTGTGACCCCCGACTCCTAAATAAAATGCTTCGTGACTCCCATGCTCTTCATGGCAGACTGGTGAGAATCCCCAAGCACTCTCCCCTCTCTCCATTTAACTGGTAAGATACCCTCACTCCCATTACTTCCTCGCTCACTGATGCGATCACTATTCTTCCAATAAATAGTGACTTTAGTAAGACCACTACTTCCTGATTACTGCTCCTTGACAAAGATGATGATTTGCAGTCAAGTCCTCTTTTCGAAGCTCTGGTCTGAATATACTACTTATGGAATCTATTCTGGCCGTTGGGCCACCAGACCTCTCTATTTCAGCTCCCTCCACCCCCCAATATTTTCAACAGAGCCAGTGCCCCGATGTTAACCCCTTGTCTACACCTGTCCTGCTGCCTGCTGTGGACTTTAGCTTGGGAGAATGGAAAACCCAGACGGTAAGAAAGCCATCCCTTCCCTGGATTTCCTTAAGTCCTGTGTTCTTCTGTATCCTAATGCTTCCTATGGATTCTTCAAAGTTCTGAATTCCCCAAAAAAATCACACCTTCAACTAGGCCACCCTAACACAATCTATATTCTACTATGATGATTTATCCTCTGGACAAGATGGTAGTTTGTCATGCCAGTATGTTAAATAGATTAAAAGCTGAATACCATGAAAAGCTGAATAGAAGTCTCTTGTAGCCATTCCTTTGAACTATGCCCATTTAGACTTCTTAGATTAGTGAAGTAACACTGATCTGTTATCCACAGATGACACAAAGCTGGGAAGCAGAGCTAAAATAACAAAAGACAGATTAAGATTCAAATTGCTGAAACACTAGATCAAAAGAAAGATGAAATTTAACAGAGAGACATAACAAATTCTACATGTGTAAAGTGATTAAGTCCTATTCTAGCTTCAGGTCATGATGTCCCTACTTCCCTCAAACTTCTAGCCCTAAAAGTTACTGAGAAGAAGATCTGGAAGGGTTAAGTTGACCCCAACCTTACCATGTAATATTATTGATGTAGGATGGTAGGAAAAAAGTTCTTGTTTTGTTTTGTTTTGGAGCAGCTATTTTAAAAACTAGTGATTGAGTGATTTTTTTTTAAAGATTTATTTGTTTATACATACAAGAACTGGGGTACAGGCCAGAGGTGCAGGGGGGTGAGAGAATTTGCCAGAGACAGAGTAGGAAACAGAAAAGGCGGAATGACTGAAATACGCTGCTGAAGGGGGCAGTGTGCGAGACAGGAGAGGTCTGCTGCACCATGTGGGTCAGTTCCCTGGCCAGCGATCAAACTCATGTTGCAGTGACTGCAAATAGCCTCATAGTGCTGCGACTTAACCCCTTGCACCACCAGGGAGGTCCTGATTCAGTGATTTTAGGTGGCTTCAGATGTTTGGGATCCACATTGTGGAATATTCCTATATATTCCTTGATTCTGAGTGACTGCACTTAAAAGTACTGGGCTGAGTACTAGACATCCTTCTGTAAACTTGCTATGTTATTCAGAGGGACTGTGTTAAATTAGCATATATCTAGATGGAGGAGGCAGCCCAGTGAGAGGTTAGAAAACATGTTATATGAAGAATGGTTAAAAAAAAAGGGGGGGAGCCTCCCTGGTAGCGCAGAAGTTAAAGTCTGAGCGCTATCAAGCTATCAATAGTTCCATCTGATCCTGGCCAGGGAGCTAGCCCACATGGTGCAGCAGGCCTCTCCTGACTTGCCCGATGCTCCCCTTAGCAGTGTATTTCAGTGGATCTTCCTATGCTGCTCCCTACTCTGTCTCTGGTGAATCCTCTCCCCTGCACATCTGGCCTACACCCCTTTTTCTTTTCTTTTTTTTTTTTTAAAAGAAGCGCCTGTCTGATTAGCTGGGAGAGAAGTTAGGCTTGTGCTTAGCAAGTACTTTAGTTTGCAACTCGAAAGCACTCCTTGGAAGGTTAAGTCTTTTACCCTCTAGATCCCCTTTCTTCTCTCAGATCTTCCAGGGGGATGGCACACAGAAGGAAGGGCAGTTCCAGGGCATCCCTTGTTGATCCAGCTGTCATTTATCAGAAGGCATCTTCCCTTTGTCTTTATGATCTTTATGATGTTCTCACTTCTATATAAAGTTTATTTGAAAGATTTATTTATTTTGCATACAAAAACTGGGGTACAGGCCAGAGGTGTGGGGGGTGAGAGGATTCACCAGAGACAGAGTGGGGAACAGAACAGGCAGAACGACTGAAATACACTGCTGAGGGGAGCAGCAGGCAAGTCAGGAGAGGTCTGCTGCGCCATGTGGGTATTTCCCTGGCCGGGGATCGAACTTGTGCTGCAGTGGCTGTGGACAGCTTCATAGGTTGCATCTTAACCCCTTGCACCACCAGGGAGGCCCATCTCTTCATTAAGTTTTTAAAAATAAATGATCCTAAGGTTATGTAGTGGAAAGAGATTTACAGCACAATAACCAAGAGGTAAAAGCTTTAATACAGTAGATGCCAGCACAGTGTAAGACAAAAAGAAAGAACTTTTCTGATTGAAATGCAGTGTAAGATCAGGCCGGGTTACTGGACACTTGAGTTGTTCAAGCAGAAGCTGATGACCAATTGTTGGGAGACTGTGAAGGAATTCCTGTGCAGGGTGGGACCTTGGTCCTGTCCAATTCCCAGCTCCTATGATTCATTCTGCTGGCTACTCCTAGAGGCTCCCCACCCGCTATGAGCATGCCCTTTGAAGTAGTCCACTTCTTTCTTCCATTTCTTTCCCAGGAGCAGACCAAGGCACAGGATGTCCTAGGAGCAGCAGCCCTTCTGCTGGAGGGAGTAATGGCAGCACGGGAACAAGTGGGGCCCACTTGCCTCTCATCCCTCCTGGGACAGCTTTCTGGACAGGTCCGCCTCCTCCTTGGTGCCCTGCAAGGTCTCATTGGAACCCAGGTAAATCCCCAGTCAAGGGAACTATAGAAATTGTCCGTTTCTGGCTCAGTCCCTTAGAAGAGCAGAGGGAAGAAAGGGAAATTCTAGGAATCTTGAGGGTGGAAGATCTGACTTACCACGAAGTGCTGCCTCTCAGCCATAAAACCTGGGTATTGGTACCCTACCTTTCCCATGCAATCAAGAGAGGCATAGATGGCCCAGGGCTCTAGCCTCAGGCCCATCCTCTGCCCTTAGCTTCCTCCACAGGGCAGGACCACAGCTCACAAGGATCCCAGTGCCCTCTTCCTGAGCTTCCAACAACTGCTGCGAGGAAAAGTGCGTTTCCTGCTGCTTGTAGTAGGACCCACTCTCTGTGCCAAGCGGACCCTACCCACCACAGATGTCCCAAGCGGTACCTCTCTGTTCCTCACATCGAACAAGCTCCCAAACAGGACTTCTGGATTGCTGGAGACAAATTCCAGTGTCTTAGCCAGAACTACTGGCCCTGGGTTTCTGAAGAGGCTGCAGGGATTCAGAGCCAGGATTCCTGGTCTACTGAACCAAACCTTCAGGTCTCTAGACCAAATCTCTGGACACCTGAACAGGACACACGGACCCTTGAATGGAACTCATGGACTCTTTCCTGGACCATCTCCCAGGGCCCTAGGACTCGTGAACATTCCTCGAGGAACTTTGGACACAGGCTCCCCAACACCTAACTTCCAGCCTGGATATTATTCTTCTCCAACCCATCCTCCTACTGGACTATATACACTTTTCTCTCCTTCACCCACCTTGCCCACCCCCATGGGCCAGCTCCAACCACTTCATGACCCCTCTGCTACTGTGCCCAACACTGCCAGTCCTCTTCTAACTACAGCCCACCCTCACGTCCAGAATCTGTCTCAGGAAGAGTGAGGTATTCGTGTACTGCCGATATCCACATTGTCTCCCATGTATAATTCCCTTATGTGGAGCCCTGAGAAGCAACTGCAGCTATACCAGGTTTCCTGCTTTCACCTGAACCCCAAGTCCTGGCAAGGAGGGATACCCAGGACAGAAAAAGGGATCATTTTTCACTATATATTATAAAACTTCAGAAGCTATTTTTTTAAACTATCAATAATATTCACCAGAGCAGCTAGTTATCTTTGGTCTATTCTCGGCATAAATATACAACTTACTAACTTTCTACATGCTCTTTTTCATAAAATAACCCTGCAGAGGCCTACACCGGCCTGGTCTCTGAATAGAGATAGAGACTAACCTTGTATCAGAGAGGAGTTTGGTTTTTTGTTCAGAAGTTAAGGTTGTCTTTTTACTATCATTTTCTTTTTATTTTTTTAAATTTTTTTAAACTATTCTTTCATTTATTTATTTATTTATACAAGCACTGGGCACAGTCAGAAGCACAGGAGGGTGAGAGAATTCACCAGAGACAGAGTGGGGAATCAGAACAGGCAGACTGACAAAATACACTGCTGAGGGGAGGAGCAGCGGGCGGCAGGAGAGGTCTGCGCTCCATGTGGGACCCTCGCTGGAGGCAGGGGATTGAACCAGAGCTGTAAGAGGCTGCAGGCAGCTTCGCAGCCCAGCGCTCAACCGCTGCATCACCAGGGAGACCCTTTTTTACTATCATTTTCAATGGGACTTTGATCTCCTTTTTTCAGGAGCTCCTTACTCCTAAGAAATTTGTTTTTTTTTTTTTGAAGATTTATTTATGCATACAAGAACTGGGGTATAAGCCAGAGATGTGGGGGGGTGAGAAATTTCACCAGAGAGAGTGGGGAGCAGAACAGGTAGATCAACTGAAACACACTGCTGAGGGGAACAGCGGCCGAGGCAGGAGAGATCTGCTGTGCCATGTGGGTTGCTCCCTGGCCTGCTGGGGATCAAACTCTTGCTGCAGTGGCTGGCAATAGCTTGATAGCGCTGTCTTTAACCCCTGCACCACCAGGGAGGCCCCACTCTTCAGAAGTTAATGAGAAGTTGTCTTTCAGGAACGCTGTCCCTACACAGTAGTCAAACCTGAACTTATACATATAATGAGAGAACCCAAAGAAATATAATCCAAAGAAAGCAAGGGAAAAATTTTCTTCTGGGGGGAGTGGGTGGGGGGGTGAATAGTTTCCACCTACACACACTCTCCACCCCTACCACCCCTTAAAAAAAAAAAAAAAAAGAAAGCTAACAGGAAGCCTAAGAGAGCCTCACACCCCAGATAAAGCTGTGCAGACAGTTCAGTCAAGACAAGTCTTGGATGTGACAGCTGAGCAAATAGCAGGGGCTTCTGCAGCTCAGCAGGAAGCTTCACCAAGCATGGGTTCCTGCCTCCCCCCTGTGGAGGTCAGGGGGAAGTGCAGGAAGTGGCAAGAGTCCCCTAGGGCTCACTCAGCAGGAGAGACAAGCACAAGTCAAGTACTAGGTTGAAGGCTCATTTCCCAGTTCCCAGAAGTAAAGGTATTCAATAGTACCCAAAAAGTGACCCCATATAACCACCATAAATTCTGCTGGAGGACGTGTAGAAAAGAAGACAGGCTTATGGAGCTTTGCAAGTAAATACCCTCTTGGTGCTTAAGGAAGATGTTTTTATTGCCCAAAACAAAAATTCCCTTGCAAAGGTCAGTGCTACCTCTGAAGGCCCCAGTAGGAAAACTAAGGAAGCTTCTCTTTCTCCATCCCCCACCCCAAAAAGGAGAGAAAAGGCCACCATGTAGGCAGAAGAGCCAGGAGTTTCCAGTGGTTTCACAGTCTGTAAGCAGGAAAGCAACACCCTAGGCTGACATTAGTCTACAGCCTGTATTCTCCCCAGTGGGGTACAATGTCCAATACATCATTCAGGATTCTACTTTTCAGGGAGAAGTTCCAAGTCCCTAGGAAGTAAATATATCAACAGTGAAAGTTCTAAGTAGAAAGTCAAATTTCCTGGTGGGGGTCCCAATTCAGACATCTCCAGGTGTCCTCTCTCCCACCACGAACAGAACAGTTGCCATGGAGAAGGAACCACCAAGTGCACAATGCTCAAAAGGGTTATTCAAATCTTGGATGGTGTCAATTTCTGCAAGGGAGAAAACCAGTTCATCCACACTACAAATTCCAGCATGTAGTCAAAGGAATGGTAAGTGGAAATTACTGAAACACTGAAGGTTAAATCTAATGATCAAATGAAACTTTATGGGACACAAAAGAGCGTTCATGACAAGATATGCCAAAGGGACCGGTTTTTAGCACAGATGAAAGTCAAGGATGACAAAACTGTAAGATGTAGCCAGCAAGTTCCAGACAGCCAAAATTGGCATTTGACTTTCTCCACGGCAACTGTGAACAATTCCTGAGCTTTTTCAGTGTGCACTAATCTGCACCTGTTGAAGAACTAACCCATTCCCAAATCACTGTCTGATTCTACTTCTTCCCTATATCCTAAAAACACAAAACTGTTAGAACCAGAACACTCTATCTTTAACCAACTATAGGCCAGTTCTCTTTCTTCTGTCACTCCAAATCAGCTAGGCCAGTCTGAAGGCTACACCACAAACTATCCCTGGTAATTAATATAACCTAAATGCATCTTTCTCCAACCCTTACCTGTCCTCTGCCCCACCCCCCAAACTTGACTCTATAACATCCTAACCCCCCACTGTACCTCCTATTTGCCTTTCCCTCCCCCCACCCCTCTTCACTGTAAGGCAAAAGAAACACCTTTTCCTCGCCCCTGCAGAGGCTCTCCATTTTCAACCCATTTCCCTAAATACCATTTCTAACACCTCATGTAAAGACCTGAAAATGATGGGGAAGGAAATACCCCAGGCAGCCCAGCAGGAGGCCCAACTCCCAAGGCAAAACCAGATCAAAGAGACAACTGCTTAGCACACAGTCACAATCTTTCTGGATCATTACCTTGAATTTCCCAGGGGAAACTAGAGTCCCATATAACTCCTCAGAGACCTCAAAGTTCAGGGCTAAAGAGCCAGCTCCAATACTGGAGCTCTTGTAAGCATTACTATTCCCTCAACTGTGTTCTTCCTCCATTTTTAAGCTAGTGACTGCAGTCAGGCTGCTGCATTGTCCTGGGCACTGCCACTGGACTGCCAAACTCATTGATATTGCTGCCCTGTCCACTTCACTGGTCTCTGCAGCAGTTCCCTGTTCAGTGTCACTGGTAATAACCACCACTTACCCTCCCCTCTAGATCACCACTAGAATGTAGAATCGAGAGCTAGCTCCTCCACCTGCTCCCATAACCACCCAAACACTCTTCCAGTTCTCCTCATAGTCATATCTCATGCCTATGTCTAAAAGCCTCCACCCAAAGCTTTCATAAAAATGATGAACATTTCCAGGCTATGCAAGTGACTCATTCAACTCAGCGTGATTTGACTTCCTGAGAGAATGAAAGTATTGGAAGGACATGAGCAGGGCTCCTTGCCAATTCAAAATTCTATGCCAGATGGGTGGTATCTTCCGGGCCTAGGGTGCCCTCAGGAGCCAACATTTTTCTCTCCCGGACAGAAAATCATTGGAGGATAAGTGTTGGGAATAGTCAGCCAGGAGAATGAGATAATACTGAATTCAGATACCAAAAGGCAAAGATAGAGCCTACACTGACATGTCTATCACCTAGCTGTGGGTCAGAAATATAATACACTGTAGGTAAATTGGAAAAAAAAAAAAAACCTTTAAATTAAAAAAATATTAAAGGAGAAGAAGAGTCTGAAAAAGTAGAGTTTAATTTAAAAAAAAAATCATATACACAAAACAACTTCTGATTCCTTTTAAGGCCTCCACAGGTCTATGTCTTTCACAGGCAAGTTAGTTCCCCACGGAGTGCAGGTGACCTCAAGATGTACCTACAGTGAACAGATGAACAACAGCAAATACTGCTCAGGCTTGTGTGACTGTCCAAGGCCTGAGAGACTAAGTAGCAAGGTTGGCTTCCTGGGTGGTTCAGAAGGCCAGTTTCTTCATCAGCAGATAAACTCTGGAATCTACTTCAAATCCGTGCAGGTTGTTGGCATCACCCTGCAGCCTCATGAGCAGGCCCCCATAGGACACATAGGCAGATCTGAAACAGAAGGCCCAATCCCATGAGTCTAAGCTTTGGGGTGCAGCAGCTGCCACTCAGCAGCTCTCCACCTTGCCATAATAAAGAGGCACCCTTCTGGCATTTTGTCATTAGGAACCAAAATTCTGACCAAGACAAATGCATAGATATGTGTTAGGCAGTGTTCTTTATATCAGCAAAAGTGGAAAATACAACATGCCCAGCATAAGGGAAATGGTCAAATGAATGCAGATTCCATGTACGGGAATGTCATGCAGCTATTAACGTGCTTAGGAAAAGCTCTAAACTAACATGCAGAAACATGTTTTACATAACATTAGGCAAACAGAAGAAAACATAACAAACATGATCTCAAAGGAAAAAGCACACAAGAAAAAGCCTAGAATATTCAAAAATGTTTATGTAAAAGTTTCCTCTGGATATGAAATTATAGGTGAATTTTTTCCTTCTTCACATCTCTATTTTTCAAATTTCTCACAAAGGGCACATACTGTTTTAATAAGATTTTAAAGAAAAGGAAAAAATAGTTGAGCAGGGAAACCAAAGAACCAGGGATTAGGTTGCAGAGGAGCAAAAAATACACACACAAATAAACAAAACCAAAAAGCCTAGCAGTTTAATCACTTAATGCTGCATTTGGTTCATGGGGGAGCAATCTTCCTTTGCACTTTCCACAGCGAGATTACCAGTTTCTCATTTGGACCACTGGCCTCCAAGGTCCCGGCAAAGGGAGTAGACTATATTTCAGATTGAAACTATTCCTAGAACAGTTTCTCTCTGGGTTACTCCTAGATGTGACATGCTTGGGGAGAGGAACTTAACATGGGAAGCATGAGTACAGACGAAATTTTCAGAGCCTGGCCCAAATTCTCAGAATAGGGAAATAAGAAGGGAAGGAAAGGGTTCTCACAAAACAATGGAACTTACAGACGTGTTGCCGCTTCAGTAGAAGTTTCGTCTCCCTCAATCCTGTACACTTTCCCATACATTACATACTCAAACTGATCAGCCCTATGGAACAACAGTGGCAAAGTTATTCTTAAAAGCAGTTAATAATAAAAGGCCCTTTTTAAAAAAATGGTAACTGCTATAATGTTGGTAACTATATGCCTACATATTAAAAGACACTTTCCAAATTTGGTATCATTTAGTCCTCAAGCAACTCTGTGAGCTAGGAGTAGATAATCATCTCTGTTTTATTGGTGAGGAAAATGAGGCCAAAAGAGGTTAACATTATTCAACAAATAAGTGGTAAGCCTAAGATTTGAATTCTCTGGGCTCCAAAGCCTTTCCATCACACCAAATCCCTCCTAAGACATAAGGCTCACAGCCTAGATCACTCAGTGGTCATTTCCTCAGCCATCAAAAACTGCAGCTCCCAGGCATGCAATCACTGCACTGGACAAAGACATGGCTGTTTGAATTCTTAAGTGCAGATATTTCCTTAAGTTACTCAGAGTATGCTGATAGCTCATTTATTCTACTAATTAATTTTCTTTCTATACCACTTATCTACTTAGTCCTCAGATGTACTTCAAGTATCACTTCCGTGTTCCTTTACCTGGAGGGCCTGTCATCTGTGGGGTTGTATTCACCATCATCCAGGGTACCATCTTCATACAAGGTACTGGCTATGACCAGCCGGAACTTGTCACCTGAAAATAACAGCAATATCTGAGGGTAAAGAACAGCTGAAATGAAAAAAGTATCCTGCTGTTTCTGTGTTCAATACTTACCCAAGTCTACAGGGTATATCTGAATGTTCACATCTAAAATGAGGTCCATCTTGAAAGACTCACTTTCACAATGCAGTCGAGACACTGGAGGAATCAAAGTGGCAGAGCTGATCACCAGGCCCAACAGAGACCCTACAAACCCCACCTTAGAGGATTATATGCAATAAAACACACAATTTAACCCAGTCTGCATCCACTGGCCTCTCATCTGCTCTCAAATAAGTTCAGGTTCAATCAGAACTAGATATGCATGAAGGAAAAGGAAGAAAAACTATGGCAAGCAAAAAGAATCCCCAGAAAAGAATCAAAGGTCTCTGATAGCAAATAATAAAAGATCCAAGGACTGGGCCTCCCCTGGTGGTGCAGCGGTTGAGCACTGGGCTGCCGGGCAGCCTCTGCAGCGGCGGTTCATTCCCCTGCCGCAGGCAAGGGTCCCACCAAAAAAAAAAAAAAAATCCAAGGACTACCTAGGTAATTAAGAAACAAACTAAGGAGATTAAAAATATGCTCCAAATAATGAGAGAAAATATTTACACATTACATGACCAACCAGTATTTCCTATCCAAGATATAGTTTTTAAATTTATATAATTTATCAAAAAAGTTAATAAATGGGCAGCATATCCAGAAGCACAAAAGACACATGGAAATATGTTCATCATTGCTTTTAATAAAGGAAATGCACATCAAAACCACAATAAGAATGGCACATATTTAAAATACCCCCAGCAAGTGTGGGAGAGAATGTGAAGAGGAACACTATTACACTGAAGGCTGGATAATGTATACCGCTGTAGTCATTTAGAAAAGTAATGTGGATTTCCCTTAAAAAAAAAAACCCTAAAAATGTAAATCTTATATGACCCAGCAATCCCACTGAAAGACATGAAACCATCAACACAAAAAATTATGTTTAACAATATTTATTGCAGCACTATTTACATACTAGTTAGGACATGGAAACAACATAAGTGCTCACTAATAGAGGATTAAGAAGATTTGGTATATATACCAGTCAGTCATAAGGAAAGATAAAATGTTGCCACCTACCACAAAAGGGAAGGAGCTGGCGGGAATTTTTGCATAGTAAAACAAGTAAGACCTTATTAAACATTTACATAACTAATTACTGGACAGAGCAAAATATTTATAAAAACTAGCAAACACTAATAAATGAAGTGAAGTTTCTGAGGTTAAGAGGAAGTGGGGCAGGAAAAGAGCCAAAGGAGTATAAAGGATGGTTGGGGGGAGAGGAAGAAATATGTGAACTGCAGGAAAATATTGTTAAAAGTGTGACTTTGGGCAACTTATTCATTTCATCCAAAGACTTCATCTTTCTGTGCCAGGAACTGTGCAGAGGGGATTATCGGGACATTTAAGAATTGGTGTTTAACTGGAAGAAACTGAAATCAGCCTCCAGGCAAAGGAGAAACAACTGATCAATGACAGAATAAAAAGATATATACAAACTAGTTGACCCTTAGGAAGGACTTAACAAAAGTCAAATATTTGGAGGGCAATACAAGAATATAGTCTGTGGGGGCCTCCCTGGTGGCGCAAGGAGTTAAGACACAACCTACGAAGCTATCGCATCCTCTGCAGCGCGAGTTCGATCCCGACTGGCCAGGGAGCAACCCACATGGCGCAGCAGACCTCTCCTGACTTGCCCACTGCTCCCCTCAGCAGTGTACTTCAGTCAGTCTGCCTGTTCTGCTCCCCACTCTGTCTCTGGTGGGTCCTCTCACCCTCCACACCTCTGGCCTGTACCCCAGTTCTTGTGTGCATAAATAAATCAATCTCCTTTAAAAAAAATAATAAATATATAGAGAGAGAGGCTGTGAAGTAGTATTACTCGCTTTGCAATCCTGGGTTAAGTTACCTAACCTCTCGGTGCAAAATGAGTAAGACACTATCTACCTCGTGGAGACTCTGGGAGGAATAAACATATACTATGTGAGTGCACAGTGCAGCGTCCGCACAGGGTGGGTAACGGAAAGATGCCAGGAGCTTACCAGAACCATGACAACAGGCCACCCAGGCCCCGGGCACAGCTCATGTGAAGTCAGAGAAAGCCCGCAGCCTCAGTTTTCTTCGCTATCAAATGCCCAGGAGGGCGGTCCCTACATCAGGGACGGTAGGGAAGGCCACGTGAGCTGGGTGGACTGGGGGCCCAGGGGCGTGTCCCGAAGGAGAAGGTTAGCCTCGTCCCCCAAGCCGCCCCTACATACCTTACTTACCTCGGTCAAACTTCTTGCCCTCCGGGTCAATGTCTTTCACATCAAAAATATCCTCAAACAGGATGCCCGCCATGGTGAGAGGGCAAGCGGGTAGCAGAAAGGCCGAGCGCGCGACCACAACTCGGGGTACGCGCACCCGCCCGCGTGGAGAAAGGGAGACGGGAAGGTAAAACACACGGCGCCTGCAGCGCGGCGGCGAAGGTACAGGATCACGCATGCGCACAGACAGGCAGCACGGCCATTTCCGCCGCCCAGCTCTCGGGGCTCCTTGACTTCCGCCCCGAAAGGCCGCTTCCGCGAGGCGTCGCCGTGGGGGCGGGCCTCGGGCCAGCTCACTCCGCCCTGGGGCGGGGACACGACAGATTCCCACCTCCGGCCGAGATGGCGCGGTTTCTCACTGCAGACTCCACTGCGCCCTCTTCAGAGTCCAGGTCCCCGAGACTGGAAAGCTGGGGAGCCTACCCCAGCCAGAGACCTTGATCCTTGGCCCAGAGAAGCCCGGCCCTAGCCCTACCCAGCAGGTCCGCATGCCCGCCGAGGGCACAGTCCGTGCCGAGGGCGGGCGGAGCAGAACCCCGCCCCCAGCGCAATAGCCCGGCAGGGCGCAGTGCCCAGCTCCTCAACTGGCACCAAGGTCCCCCAGGCCGGCCCGGGCCAGCTCGGCCCTGCTGATGACACCCGAGCCAGATCCGTCCAGTTTGGGAATTTGCCATGATGTCACTATGGGGAAGAGGGAAGCCTGCACTGTCCCTTCCCCTGGTACTGCACCCTCCCCACCACTGCCCTCCTGCAACGGCCCGCTCTCCAGCTCCACACCACCCTTGCAGTCTGGCGTTAACCTCATCATGCTGCCCCTGGCATCTTCCTCTGGACACTGATCTCTGTGCCCCTTCATCCTGGCACTATCCTCTCCCATGGATACCAGCTGTTCCCTCCCATTGCCCTTCTCGGGTGCTGACTATTCTCGAGCTGCCCCCTTCCTGGGCACTGCCCCCTCCCCTGGGCACTGCCTCTGCCTCCCACATGTCCCTTCATCCTGGTACTGCCTCCACCCACGCACAGCCTGTTTCCCGGGCACTGCCTCTCCCCACACACTATCTCAGACACTGCCCGTCCACCCCGTGTCACCCCACCCCCAGGTCTGTCCCTTTCAGGACCCTGATAGAGAACGCAGAGCGCCAGCAGGCGGTTCCCCCAAGGCGGTGAGACGTCAGCAGCTACTCGGGTTTCTCCTTAGGCCTTGCCAAGGAGAAGCGACCTCTGTCCCCCCACGCCCGCCTCCCAGGAGCGGCCTCCCAGGCACCTAGATCTCCCTTCCCTGGGGCCTCACCCCTTCCCGCTCCTCCCCTCCTCCTAGCCCGCACACCCCGCCGGCCGGGCGGCTCCAGGAGTCCCGGGGAGGTGGGGGAGGGACGGGCAGAGGAGCGCCTCCCGGGAGGGAAAGAGATCGGGAGCGAGGGAGAGACCGCGGGCCTCAGTTCCGAGCATCCCCCCAGCCCCCTCCCTCTGGGCCTGGCGTCCTCCTCGAGCCCCGCAGCTTTGCTTCTCACCCCCGACGGGGCAGAGGGCCCTCGCCAGGCCCGCCCGAGCTGCTCGCTCCGAGGAAGCAGAAGGGCGCCTTCCAGAGAGATGAAGGGCCCGAAGGGCCTGACCGAGACCGCTCTGCAGCCCCCAGCCCCCAGGCCCCGCGGAGCCCCGCGCCTCCCGCCCCTCCCGGGCGCCGCAGACCCGGCCCGGCCCCTACACGTGCCCACGGCCCCGCCCCCGCCCTGGCCGCGGGCGCCCTCCTCAGCCCCCCGCCACCGGGAGATGGGGCGCGGGCTCGCGCGCCCCCAGCGCCCCCTGCCGCCGCCCCGGAGTCGGGGACGCGGCCCCGTGGCGACCCCGGCCGGCCTGAGCCGGCCCCCGCGGACCGGCCGGCGGGCGGAGCAGCTCTGAGGGCACCGCCCTCGGCCCGCCCGCCGAGGAGGGGACGCGAGCGGCAGGCTGCGCCAGCGGCACCCGCCCGGGGCCCGCCGCACTCGCGCTCGGCCGCCCGGGCGGAGGGGACCCGACGGGTGCAGGCGCGGGCGCCGCCGGCCGGGAGCCGAGTCCGGGCCGGAGCCCCAGCTGCAGCGGGAGGCCAGCGGGCGGGGAGCCGAGATGGCGGCCGCGGGGGCCGCGGCGGCGGAGGAAGGGATGGAGCCGCGGGCGCTGCAGTACGAGCAGACCCTGGTAAGTGAAGCCGAGCTGAGCCCGGCGGGGAGCGCCCCGGACCGCTGCTGCCGGCCACCCCTCCGCGAGCTGGGGCCAGCCTCAGCCGGCCCAGCCCCCTGAGATGGGGAAACTGACGGCCGAGAGCCCGAGAGCCCGGAGGGCCAGGGGGTGGAGAGCTGCACACAGGTTTTGGGCTGAGGCTGGAGGCCCGTTGAGGACAAGGACACCGGGTGCTCGTCGTAGGTGTCGCCCCCACTCACGTATTCTTTGCTCCTCCCTCTCACCACCTGCACCCCGTTCCAACACCCCACTACCGTCTCCGGCATGCGCACACCCTTGAACTTTTTCTGCCTACACTATCTCCATCATGTGAGACTTTCCCTGTGTCCGCAGTGCGTGCATGGCCCTGTGCGAGGCAGAGAAACTCAAGTGTGTAGAAAGCTGACCAGACCCCAACCCAGCCCCAGCCCCTACTCCTGGGGGCTGGCAACCCAGCATTGGCAGGAACCTCTCATGGATTCCCTGGGGGGAGGGTGGCCTGCCCCACTGGGGGTCGGGAGCTTTGGGGACAGGGTCAAGCAGGAATGGACATTGGAATTGAAGCCTTTGTCCATGATAACTCAGGGTCCCGGGGTGGCCCTTGGCCTCATTAGAATCAGGGGTCCTGGGGCTCTGAGCTGACTCATGGCCACTACTGTAACTCCGTGTTTGAGAAGCTTTTGCTCCTTGTATCATTGGGTTGGGGGACCCAAACTCTAGGGAAAGGAGTGGGTCCTGTGACTCCTTTTTACCAGCTTGGGCTGGAATTTGCCCAGGAAGGAGGCTGGGAGGAAGCCTCTCTAGGAGAAGGGGGCCTGGGCTAGAACTGTGGCTGGGAGGTGCCCAGTTATGAGAGAGAGTGACCGAGTGAAACGTGATCACAGAGAGAGGTGGCAAGGCTAAGGGTGGAGCCAGGGTGGAGGTGTAAGTCTTGGAATCAGGTGGCAGGTGTCCATCAGTCTGCACCAGCTGAGGATGGGGCATTGGTCAAGGCAGCAGGCCCTTCGCCTCTAAAACAACATCTGTTGCACCAACCCCAGCTCCATTGCCTTTGCCAGGTCTCTATCTCTGGAAGGAGTTCTCAGGGTCAGGCTCTCTCCCCCCCCCACTCAGTGCTCCAGCCTCAACCCCTTCTCCTTCCCATCCCTTTGTCTCTCTCTCCCGCGCTCACCTCCCCCGCCTACACTGTCAGCCTCTTCATACTCTACTGTCTTTCTCTTTTTCTCTCCCCTTCCTCCTCTCTCATCTTTTTCTCCTCTCGGCCCCATCCGCCTGCCTCTCTTTCCCCCTGTCTCTTCTCTCCCCCTTTCCTTCCTTCCCTTATTCCCTATCATTCTCTCTCTGTCTCTATCTTTCCCGGCCTCTCCCCCTCTCCACCCCAGTCCCAACAGGAGCCCTTTGTGTCCTGAAGCTCTGCGGGTGGCAGCCGGAATCTACTCCTCCCCGCCCCCCAATACACGCCCAGCTTGGCAGGTCTAGCCCTGGCTCGCGACTTTCCAGTCCCATCACCCCAGCATCCGCAGTCACAGTCCAGCCATCAGCGTCTGCCATCCCCAACCCACCACTGGACTCAGGGTAGCTCCAGTAGGGCTGAGGCCACCAAGTACTCTCCACCCACCTAGAGAAACTTTCCACTCCCTGCTGGCCTGGCAGGCTGGTGGGGGCTGAGGGTAGAGAATGGGGACAAGGGGATTAGGATGGGTGGGAGGGGTGCAGCTAAGTTGGGCACAGGCCAGAGGCCCAGCAGGAACGTGATAAGGATTGGGGCCCCCGCCTGCTCCTAGGCCCAACTCAGCTGCCCCCAGCTCCGTGAGGCTCTCATTGTTATCCATATGCCCTTGACCATCCCTTTTCTGTGACCTTCCTTCCTCCCACTTGCAGACCGTGCCTTAGGTTTTCCATCTTTTCTTCTTCTGGGGCCTACCCTCCCACTCTTCTTCAGTGCCCCCGCCCCAGGCCTTTAAGAAGAGGACCGATTATTCTGCCATCCCCAGAGCTGTGTCCCTATACCTTGGCTGCCCCGTCACTCCAGCCAGGACAGCCCCCACAGTCTGCAGTGTGCATTGTTCCCATACCCCAAATCAAGAGGGGGCATATAATGTGGGGCTGGGAGAAGGGTGATTGAGGCAGTGGGAATCCTCCCTCCATCCCCACGTCTGCTAATCCCCCCATCTTCCCTATTGCTCAGATGTATGGCCGGTATACTCAGGACCTTGGGGCCTTTGCCAAAGAGGAAGCTGCTCGGATCCGGCTGGGAGGGCCTGAGACCTGGAGGGGTCCACCTTCCCCTCGGACTCCCCCAGAGCTTCTGGAATATGGACAGAGCCGTTGTGCCCCATGCCGCAGTGAGCCCTGGGTTGGGGCAGGAGACCTGGTTATGCTGTGCTGAGGGGGACAGAGGACACTGAGCTGCCTTGGAGGGGGCGGGGACAGGGCAGGAGCACTTTGGTACCAGCCTCTCCATTCTTCCCTTCCCTGCTCCCAGTCTGCTCCGTACGCTGCCATAAGTTCCTCGTGTCCAGAGTTGGTGAAGACTGGATCTTCCTGGTCCTGCTGGGGCTCCTCATGGCTCTGGTCAGCTGGGCCATGGACTATGCCATCGCTGCCTGTTTGCAGGGTGAGGACAAGAGCCCGTAGAGGGAGGGCTGGGAAGATCCACCTGCTTCCTCCGTGCCTCACTTGCTCAAAGACACTTTGAGCCACTTCCACTTCCACGGCTAGCCTGGGCTTGTCCTGTCTTCAGGCATAATCACTGCCACTTCTCCAGGTCACAAGTTCCTGCCTCCCCTCTCCAACTGACCCTCTTACCTGCAGTGACCTTTGTCCCTGTGAATGCCCTCTGGGCCCCCCTCCCTACCCCTTGTGCCGTGCTTTGTGCAATATCCCCTGGGACAGACTGTCATATCAGTCTGTCCCAGAGGCCACGTGGGGACTGGCGTGTCTCTCAGGGGTCGAGCAGCACATTGTCTCCCCACAGCTCAGCAGTGGATGT